TTGGGACTTAAAATGTTGCCCCCTTCCGATGAAGATTCAGAACAGGAGGTGCCACCTGGAGCAGCAGAAGCCGTTCAGTCTGTGGATTATTACTGTGATAGTAAGTTATCTTTGACTTATTGTATAATGTGAAATGTAAACGGGTACTAAAATCCTTCCTGTACCTCAGACTGCCCGCTGAAAAACTTGAAGTACTCTGGAAAGCCATTCTGTGCACAGCTAATGTCTTACTTTCTTTTCTCCTCAGCCATCATTCTCCGGAACATTGCTCCTCACACAGTAGTGGAATCCATCATGACTGCCTTGTCTCCATATGCATCTCTGGCAGTCAATAATATTCGTCTTATCAAAGACAAGCAGACTCAGCAAAATAGAGGCTTTGCATTTGTGCAGCTGTCCTCTGCCATGGTGAGTGCCTTGCTGACAGTGTTGGAGAGAAGCAGCTTCTTAATGTGCCTCTGTAGTTGAAGCATTTAGAGCCTTTGAGCTGTCTGAAGGACCACCCCAGTTCACCGTGTGTTAAAGCCTTTCATCATTAGCTGCAGTTTGGAAAGAAGCTGGTAGGATGTTGTGAGCACACTGGAAAACTATTTTTGTAGCAGAGTGCTGTTCTGGATTGAAGGCTGGTTTCACACTTCAGTGATAAAAATAATGGTCTGAGTTTGTAATTTGATGACAAAAATTAAGGACTGGAGCATAAACTAGAGGAGAAGGGGCCCACAGAATTGGGCTGCTTCTGCCTTGAGAAGGAGGAGGAGGGGGATCTTGCTGCTCTCTGCAGCATCCAGTGGAATGGTGTAGGATCAGCAGAAACATGCTTCTTGAGGCTACACAGGGAGGCAACAGCCGTAAATTGCAATGTGGGAAATTGCAGCAGGGTACAAGGAAAACCACTTAACTGTGAGGGAGGTCAAATACTGGCACAGGGTCCCTGAAGAGCGATAGACTCTCCCTTCCTGCCTGTATTAAACTTGATCAGCAGCATGATCTGTTTGGACCTGCTTCAGACAGAGTGGAACAATTTGTTGCATGAAAACTGGTGCCTGATCTCTGTCTCTGCTGGCCTCCCTTTTGGAGTAATTTGGGGCAAACATCTGTTTTAAAAAGCTAAGATTTTAGATGATGTTTAATATTCCATGGCCCAAGGAAACCCCCATTATTTGCGGCTACGATCAGTCCCATTCTGCTCTTCTAAGTATGTATGGTATGAGGAGATGGAGGTGTTCTTAAAGCTTTAGCTGCTTTCAGTGTCTGTATGTAAAAAGCTGAAGCTTTGTGAATTTCTGAATCCTCAGTAACCTGCCTTTCATAATAATGAGTATTTCTTGTTGTAGGATGCTTCTCAACTGCTGCAGATCTTACAAAGTCTTCAGCCACCGTTAAAAATTGATGGCAAAACAATTGGTGTTGACTTCGCAAAGAGTGCCAGAAAGTGAGTTGCGAAAACAGGTGGCTTTTTTTAGCACCACCCTCCTCCTTTATATTAGAGACTTGTGGTCACCTAGGCTTTTATTAAGATTACTGTGGCTCCAAAGTTTTGTTTCCCTTCAGTGTCTTGTGTTGCATGAATCCTGCTCCTCACTGTGTGTGAGGAGAGTGAAAGCAGTGTTTCCTACCACCCCTATTTCCAGTCCTCTGAAGAGAACGTCGTAACTGCTTGTGTACACAGCATGCGTGTTTCCTTGGAGACCTAGTGATTCGTTCTCGACTGTGCAACAATGAACCTAAAGTTCCTTTACTTGCCAAGCAGTGCTTTGGCTCATTCATTACAACTGGAGTGTTTTATAACTGCCCAGAAATCCATGTGTAAGGGCAGATTCTACCTCCTTGCATAGGGAGACACTTAAGAAAAAAGCAGTATTTACTTAGATGCATGATTTTTGTGGTTACAGAGACTTGCTTCTCCCAGATGGCAACAGAGTCAGCGCCTTCTCTGTGGCAAGTACAGCCATTGCTGCAGCTCAGTGGTCGTCCACTCAGGTACGATTTGGAGGCTGTTGCTCATAGTCCCGCTTTCCTGAAAATGAAAACATAGTGCATACAATGTCACTGCTGCCCTTTTGCTTGGCTGAACTGACCAAAGCTGCCGTGACAGAGCTGATCTGACAGGCTGGAGCCTAAGTAGTGTTGAAATTCTTAAATGCAGTAACTTGCCTGTTACTGACAAACTACCTGCTCAAATTTCAGCCACAGACTGGAGAAGGCAGCACCCTTGACTACAGCTACCTCCAGTCAGGACAGGATGGATACACACAGTATGCTCAGGTTAGTAGTGGCAGTTGTGCTCTAACCAGGAGGTGGCTGTAATTTGGGCATCTGCTTAGCTTGTGTTGTCATTCATTTCTGCTTGCAGTACTCCCAGGATTATCAGCAGTACTACCAAAATCAAGGAGGAGTGTTGGACACAGACGCGGCTACCATATCAGGTAGTACTTGTGGGAGATGCTGTTGTTTTTAATAATAATTTTGCAATAGTGGTGTTTACTTTAGCCTTGATGATAGTTTGATGGGTAAAGGGAGGCTTAGTTCATTTTGCTCGCAGGATACCTGAATGGGAACGTGTTACTAGAGAACCATAACAAATTTTTTCAAGTGGGACCTCTAGTCTGTGAGATGAAGGAGCAGCCTCTGTTTCAGGCTATTGACAAAAGCCTTGAACTCATAGGAGTGGTGTAAGCAGCTCTAGACAAATCTTCAGCACTAGCAGCTGTCGGAGGCCAGGAATCACTGGCTTTGGGAGCAGAATATTTCCTCCTGAAAAGGAAACTGTTTCTTGTCTGGGTAGAAAATACCCACTGTGTATCTGTCTCCTTTTGAATGTTTATTGCCTTGTTTGGGTGCTGGAGTTGGAATTAGGAGCTGAAACTGTAAACAAAATAATTTTAGCCCTAGGATGAAGTACTGTTTTACAAATTAGTTGGCTTATCCATTATTGCTCTCTGGCAGGAGCTCCGGTCACTACCACCACAGCTGCAGTTGTGTCCCAGAGTCCTCAGTTATATAATCAACAGACAAACTCACCTGACTCTCCGGTAATTACAGCTCTAATTACTCCTTGCTTTCAATGCCAGGGTTATGTGGGATATCTGGCTTAGCTGTGGCGTTTGCTCTTCGAAGTGGGTGGTGGTACAGCAAAGCTGCTGAGTGTCCACGGGTTAGTCACAGTGCTTGTGTTCATAAGTCATCTGCCATTTCTTTTTTGTGATAGTTTTGCTCTTTGTTAAAGGTGAGTGCTATGTGTACTGGTGAAGAGGAGATAGTTATTGCATGTGTGGGGTGGGCTGCTCATGCCTCAGCACTGTGTCCTTGTTTTCTTGTGCCTCAGTGACAAATTTTTGTTGTTGAGGTTCCTGGTTTTGGGGTTGGTTTTTTTCAGACACAATCAGCACCACCTACTACTAGCAGTCAGGCACAAACGGCTCCCCCAACTGGCGTAGTCCCTGGAACCAAGTATGGTAAGCAGTCAGGAGTTGCTCTTGGGGACAGGTGTCTGTCACCGCATAGTGAGAGAGACTTGGCTTTGGCTGAGTGCTCTGTCACCATATGTCAGTGGTGAAGCTGTCCCTGAACAGTGTATTCTGCATGGGTGATTAAGAGCCCTCTACAGGCATGTCTTGCCATCGTGGCTGCTAATAATCTCAGAATTTTACCTGGAATGTAGAAATAATACCTGTCTGAATTCAACTGGAATTAAGTCCCACACTTAATTTTTTTACAGCTGTCCCTGACACTTCCACCTACCAATATGATGAATCTTCAGGATATTACTATGATCCTGTAACAGGGCTCTACTATGATCCCAATTCCCAGGTAAACATGAGTTCTTCCCACCTGTCTTTAACTGTTAAGGCCCATTAGTTCCCTGTCTCTCATCACATGAGTGAAACTAACTTTCCAAGGCGCACAGAGTATTGAATGTAGCAGATAACTCATCAGTGTGCCTAGGGCTGGGACTTGACTTCCCTCTGGTATAGCCCTTCAGTTTTCTCTCCTTTCCTTAATTCTGCTCACAGTTTGGCCTATAACAGGGTTAGCACTTGTCACAGGCACTGTAATTGAGCTATTTCATTGTGGAATGCCCAGTAAAGTGCACTCAGCTCTGGGCTCTGGTGGGTTGTCTCTTGGGAGAGGCAAAAGGTTCACCGTAGTGCTGTTGGGCAGAGTGCCTGTGTTTAGGGACAGAGGCTTCAGCCACTTTCTGCTGTTTGACTCCTTTGTGGAGTCTGCAAAACCTGTTTCAGCTCTGCAAAACACCTTCCCATTTGATGTGGTAGTCTGAATCATGCAGCTTGTTCGGGTGCTCCCTTGGATGCTTAGCTTATATGAGGCATTTAACTGACTCTTTTTTTCTTTCTTTTTTTCTTTCCTTCTTTTTTTCCTCTCTTCGGCAGTATTACTACAATGCCTTAACCCAGCAGTATCTTTACTGGGATGGTGAAAAGGAGACCTACATGCCTGCTGCAGAAGGTATCACGTACCAACAAACAGCTACCACAACCACCACCAAAGAAGTGAAGGAGAAGAAAGAGAAGCCAAAGAGTAAAACAGCTCAACAGGTAAAAGATAAAATGGGATTGTGTAACTGGGCTAAAGTGTTCTGTGGAATGGGATAATAGTTCTCCTTTTTCATGACGAAGTCCCGGGTTATTTGGTGGGGTGCATGTCTGCAATTTGCAGGCATTGTAGAGGGCTGAGGAGAGGTGGAGTTGGCAAGGTTTCAGTGCAGAAATAAGCTCTGCATAGGAGGAATGCATATGGAATCACGCCAGGACCAGTGGGAGTATAACTGAGTTGTCACTTAAAGGATTAGATTGATAAGAAGGGTTTGTATAGTAAAACAAGCAAGCTGCGGTGTCTTTGAACACTGTATACAGGGAAGCAGCTGCACTACATCCAATGTCCTGTGATTTAAAAATAAAAGGTAGTGGGTTGCCATGTTCTGGAAACTGTATGCAAGATTGACTCTGTATCAGTAGCTGTGAGGGAAGCTGTCTGAGCAAACCACTCTGCATTTCAGATTGCTAAAGACATGGAGCGCTGGGCAAAGAGTTTGAACAAGCAGAAAGAGAACTTCAAGAATAGCTTCCAGCCACTGAGCACCAGGGAGGAGGAGCGGAAAGAGTCGGCGGCTGCAGATGCAGGCTTTGCCCTCTTCGAGAAAAAGGTGAAGGTGCTGGCGGTAGCATGCAGTGGGGTGTGGTATGGCAGAGAGCTCAGTGCTCATGACATTCTTGTCTTGTCCAGGGAGCTCTGTCTGAGAGACAGCAGATCTTGCCAGAGGTGATGAAAAATGGGGACGATGAAAATCCACTGAAGGTGAGTATGAGATGCGTGACAGAGGTATTCCCAAAGGTTACTGGTAAAGCACTTCAGAGCAGCTGTAGCAGATACTTGCTTTTCCCACCTGGATTTCCATGGCATCATCTGTAAAAGGTGGTGGTGTTTGCAGTGGTCTGGTGCAAGTGCAGACTGAGATAAGCTGTGATGTATTCTAGCCTCAAGAGCTCAGCTGAGGTTTCTAAAAATGTCTCAAATTATTGTTTGGCTGCTGGGAGCTAAGTCTTGCAGCCACTGTAGTGGTTCTTTTGAGTTGCACCTCATCTTGAGTAATGAGAGGGGGATACCTCTTGCGCAGCAAACACATCTGCAGCCTCTGTTCCCTCTCGAGGCTCTCCTCTGAACTGTAGTGATGCTACGCTCCCCTTAATGCTGTCCTTCCTTTCTAGCGTGGCCTCGTGGCTGCCTACAGCGGTGATAGCGATAATGATGAGGACTTACTGGAAAGAATGGAGAATGAGGAAGAGAAGCTGACTGACTGGAAGAAGATGGCTTGCCTGCTGTGTAGAAGGCAGTTCCCAAACAAAGATGCTCTGATTCGGCACCAGCAGCTCTCCGACTTGCACAAGGTAGTTGCGCTGTGCTGTCAGGAAGGTACTTCTTGGTTGCTGTAACTCAGTGTGTAAACCAAAACCACTCTATGCATGTTGCTGTTTGGAAAACGGCTCCTCTTATAGCAAAAACAGTTGCGAGTGGATTGTTGCTCTCACAGAAGTCAGCTACTTAGTTTAGAAAGATCTGTTGTGCATTTCACATTGTTAATGTGAATCTCCTCTTGTTTCAGCAAAACATGGATATCTATAGGAGATCAAAGCTTTCCGAGCAGGAACTTGAAGCCTTGGAGCTGCGTGAGAGAGAGGTCAGTGTTGACACGAGCAGATGAGTGCCTAATGGAAAGCCTGCACAGATGATGGGTTGAGCTCTCTTTATCCTGACACACGTCACTTGAGATAATCCCTGTAAGCCAGCACCTTCTTGGGTCAAGGCTCAGAGCTGTCCTGTTACATGGAGAGAAGCATCCCGTATTCTACAGCTATGGCTTAGTAGGGGAGGGTCCTTCCACCTCCAGCTCAGGGCTGCCAGACTGGGATCAGAAACCTTTGGCTGGCAATCAGCAGCTAACCCAGCGGTTGCTGGGGCTGGGCTCTTCCTACCCCAGTGCAGGTCCTGATGTGCTCCAGGGACTTGTCTTTGAGGGTCTCTTTTTCTGTGGTGTTAGTCAAGCCATGTTTTAGCCAGCTGCAGGGGACAGCTTTCTGTAATAGCAGGCATTTATCTTACCTCCAGTAGCTCAAAGACGAGTAAAAGTGTCTTTAAATCAGTACTAAATGTGGTTACCTCATGCAGATGAAATACAGAGACAGAGCAGCTGAGAGGCGGGAGAAGTACGGCATCCCAGAGCCCCCTGAGCCGAAGCGCAAGAAGGTCTATGACGCTGGCACGGTGTACGTATCCAAAAGCTCCTTGGCAATTGGTTCAGTACATTCTGAGCAATTAGGTTAACTCATCTCTTCTTTCTGCAGTAATTACGAGCAGCCCACCAAAGACGGCCTTGACAACAGCAATATAGGCAACAAGATGCTGCAGGCCATGGGCTGGAGGGAAGGTTCAGGCTTGGGAAGAAAATGTCAGGGCATCACAGCACCTATTGAAGTAAGTAGAGATGGATGCTTACTTGATGAGGTTTGGTGCCTTTTTTTATCCAGAAGTACTCAGTGCTGAAGATCTCTTGTGGAAGAAACTTCCATCCACAGCAAAGCTACCTCTCTTCACTGCTCCTGCTCCTGTTTTTCCTGTCAGATGCTAGAGCTGGGACAGGCAGCGCTGTGCTTCCTTCCTTCAGCAGTCTGCTCCTGGGCTGCTGTGGCAGCAGGCCTGCACTCGAGCTGCGTGCCCTGGTGGTGCTGGGGTGCCTGCCCTCCTTCTGGCTGCTGGCTGTCCTGGGCACCTCTGTGCTTGGGGCTATGCTGTTGGGCCCTGTCTGCTGTGCAGTTTCATTTCGGCTGCTGTTGGACTGGGGTTGGAGCAGTGTGAAGCCAGCAGGCCTGGGCTGTTGTGTGTGGTCTGGTCTCCCGCTTGTCAGTATTTACAGCTGCATGGGGGATCCCCGGGCAAGCTTGAGAAGCTGTCTGGTCTGATGAGTCTCTCTCTGGTGTCCTGCATGGTGGTGTGGCCTCTCGCTGCAGAGCTGAAGCGTTTTCTCTCTTCCCTTGCAGGCCCAAGTACGAATGAGAGGAGCTGGCTTGGGAGCTAAGGGCAGCTCCTACGGTGTTTCCACTGCGGATTCGTACAAAGACGCGGTGCGGAAAGCCATGTTTGCTCGCTTCACGGAGATGGAGTAATGCGCTCTGGCCCACAAAGTACTTGTTAGCCAGAACTGACTGTTAAACTCTGTAGCCTTGGTGGCCTGGCCGTATTCTGGTTATGGTTTAGAGTTGACCATTTAATTCCCTTGGACTTGTTTCCCTCTCAGCATGTAACACTTCCATGAGCAGGTTCTTCGAACTGCCCCACCTTTCATGCTGGAGAGGTCCTGGTTAGACCGAAGGGGATGCTGATCTTTATATGGTCCTGTATATAGTGTAATGTATTTTGTGTTTGGAGTGTGTTGTCCAGAAGCCGCTCCTGCCCTCTAGAGCAAGGGCAGGGCCTGTTCCCTGTGGTTTCACACTGTCTCTGCTCTTTTGTTGTATTGTCTGTCTTGAGGGTTTTTTTTTTTGAGAACTTTCCTGTACATTTTGTATGATACATCTTTGTATAGACTTTTTGAAGACTTTGATTCTAGTTGCCAGTTCGGCTCATTTCCAAAAGAAATACATCCAGAAATGATCTTATTTCTGTTTCGCAGTGGGTGAATGAAGAATAAGTTGAGAATGCTGCTTGTCCTTTCTGTGGTTCTGCTTCTTCCTTGATGAGACTTCATCCTGTAGCCTCTCCCCCACGCAGCGCTCCCCTCCCTGGCTTCCTTTCGTCCGTGTGCTGTGCCTGTGGCTTTCTCACAGCTTCAGCCTGGACACGGGCTGGCGCAGGAGCGGCTCTCTGCTCTCTTCCCTGCCCTGGCCAGGCGAGCAGAGAGGACCAGCAACACTGGCCTCCGC